AAAAAAAAAAAAAAAAAAAAAAAAAAAAAAAAAAAAAAAAAAAAAAAAAAAAAACTAAATATTAAACAGATAAACATCGATCTTTCTACAGTCCATTCATATAAAAAAGACAAGTATATGGAAAAAGTGGCTCTAAAGAGAAGCACAATATGATGGTGGATCTATTATCTATTTTAGTAAATTCTGTGGTAATCCACAATAAAGATCTCCAATAGTATCATATTATTTTATGTTTTCTTGTTCATTGATTAACCAATTAACCAGGTTATATGTTCCCAGAATCACATATTGAACCAGTTTGCAAACTAGGATAGGCTCTAGCTCTTCTTATGAAATATAACTGAACTCCTTCATCAACAATAGCCTATAAAAAGTAAGTAAAAGAAGTCTGGAAAATATGTATCAGTTATCAACTTACATAAAAAATTCTCTCCTTGATGTTTAATCCATCATCCATTCCTGTTACTCGTAGGTATATCAATCTGTGCATCAAGAGAGGGTAAGCCAAGAAACGAATTACTTCAGTAAGAGGGTTGACGGGCAGGGATCGAACTATTCTGTTTATGAATAAAGGTTTCTTCTCATCCTAAAGATTGCAATATTCAAATATTTTCCATAGTTACTGAAAATCAAACAATATTTTGTGCTTGATACCTGTGCCACGCCTGTTCATAGCTGAAAATTGAACTCTTCACAAGCTTCACTGTGGGAGCCTCAGATATCCCGTCTGCATTGCTTAAAGTTAGACAAAGGCCAAAGGATTATATTCCATACATAAAAAGCAAAAGTCAGCATACCACTCCGTTGCAAAGCAGCCAAGAAAGACTCCTCACTTTTAGTGCTAGCATATATCATTAGGGGCTTTGCTTGATATTTCACTGAATCAACAAGAAAGGAAAAGAAGGGGCAAACATGATAAACAAAGCTATAAGAATTTGATAACTTCAGTCAAAGAAATCTAGAGAAAAGATATGCGAACCATGGGAACGGTATTAAAGCAGTAATGACCAAATCTCATTAAAGTTCTCAAGCTATAATATCAGGGAACTTACTCAATAGAATTAAACCAGGTCAGAAAGCTTACATCCTTACAAAGAGGCTTGAACTCATACCTAGATCAACCAGAGGATATTCCATGCTGCCATCTTCCCAAACATCCAGCACATGAAGCTGACGGATGCTAGAATCATAGTATGAAACTCCCACTCTGAGAAGAAAACTTGCTGAGCCATTTTAGCTTTTCACTAAGGGAACCTTATCATCCACTAAACCCTTTGTCACTTGGAACTTAACGACATAAATATTATGAAAATCAAATTTTTGGTTTTTTTTTTTTTCCGTAAACGCCTAAGATGTCTATTTAGATATTTATTCAGCCTTAGTTAGTATCAATATGCATACTAACATACAAATAAAAATCAAACACTTACTGGCGTACTACTATACTTCAAATAAGTGTAAATTCCTAGCATGAAGTTTCTCTTGATGCTAACAAATTTTCAAACACATGGTAGGGACCCAGAAGAAATTTATAGTATGGTAAAGAAACCTCACCTCTGTCCATGTTTGACACATGCCATATATATCTGTCGTTCAAGTCGGGAATAAAAAGGGCAACAGAGTGAGAAAGGTGGTGAACTACTAAACCAGTGAAGAGCATTTCTCAATTTAAAACTGTCAGTAAATATGAAACGAGGCTATAACTTCAATATAATGGAAGACGGGCAAACTCTCCAATTTCATTCCACGTGATGCACCATCCGTTCTCTTCTATATAATTTTACCCGACCTAGATTTCATTACATGTCAGCTCGGATACTGATTCACTTAAAAATGAAACTCAAGAATATATTAGAATTGGCTAAAATTATTTAAATTCAAGCCTTGCACTCCAAGATACGGCGTAGTTCAAAAGCAAAGTTTGACGTAATAAATAATTGTATCTGTCCACTGATTAGTTAAGTTATCCATTAATTAAATCAAATGACATTAATTCACCGTAAACAGAGATTATGAGGAAATCCGACTCCTTATCATCGTTATTCCATAGCTTTTCCTAATTCAGAAGATAAATGTCACGTGATTCGCTGTGCTTCTCTTCCGTCTTTTTTCCATTCAACACTGCTTTCTCTCCAGACTTAACAACGAAATTAATATATTTGATTCGATTGTTCAAAAGATCAACTGTTCAACGCTTCTATCTATCCAAAGTTAGAATCAGTAGTCCAGTCCAGGATCCTTCAAATGAATTACATTCTCGCATATTTTTATGTTCTCATCCACTAACACTACAAACCAATCAAAGTTTCCTTTGCTTTCCTCTTCATTCAGTTCGCACTAACTAGAGATGAATTGTAAGACGGAGAAATGCAGAGAAGACTAAAATCGCACTCTTAACTTTTCTCGTTTCATCCAGTCACAATACAGAAGAACAACCAAAAGAAGATTAAAATCGCATTGGACTGATCTCATATATACCAAAAGAAGATCGTGAAAAACATAAATGCAGAGAAGAGAATAAAAAAATGATCAACCTGAGGCACCGCTTCCGTTTCGTCCACTTCCTCCATTTGTCCCAAATAAAGCGCGAAAAGTCAAAATCAGTAGTCCCGCGAAATAGAATTTATAGTTCCTTTAAACCGAGTCGGGTCGGGTCGATAATTTCAATTTACAAAACCTAACTGAATCGGATCAAGTTATTTATGTCATTTGATTTAATTAATGGATAACGATGAAGCACCCACATATATATATATATATATATATATATATATATATATATATATATATATACCTATTGTTTTCCCGTTTTTTATTTCTTTATTTCTTTATTTCTTTGGAAGTGTCATGGAGGTTATAGGCAAAGTAATGATTTTACATGTTAAGTGTTCTTGATTGGACATGCTCCAATGCAAGGCCATTTAAAATGCATACGTGAGTTGGGTTGGTGTGGGTTTGAGTGCTAATGAGAATGATGCATGGGTGGGAGTATGGCCTGAGCGCTCGTGTGCATGCTAAGGCCTATGACCAAGGCATGATCATGGGCGCCAGTGTTGGCCCTCGTGCGTGCGCCAATGCTGGTCCTACTCGACAATCTGGCCCACGTACCCTGCTTGACGTCATGCATGTGCACCCTACATGATCCTGAGTGCATGCCCACCAAACCCCCCGCCGCACCAATGCCCCTCTCACTCTTGTGCGCACATCATGCCCACCAACACCAACCCAACGCAAGCACAAGTACAAGTCCATGTTCACTCTTGCCTACATGCCCACTTCAAAGGGGCACGCGTGCTAGCCACAAAACCTGGGAGGTTAACCTCTATGAAAAATCAAGACACCCAAAACCCTTGGAGGCTAACCCACACGCCCCCCGCGCGCCCATTGCACACCTCCCACACGCTCCCCCCGCACACGCCCTCGACTGCGCCCCCGCACGCCCACCGCACTCCTCTTGTGCGCGCGCTACCCCCGCACAAGCTCCACCCGTCCGTCTCCCGGCGCGCCCCCCGCACACCTCCCGCGTGTGCTCGCCCCCGCACCCGCTCCCTACCGTGCCCCCGCATGCCCACCACGCACACATGCATCCCCCATGCGTTTATAAACTTAAATAATTATTGCATGTACACTTTTGTATACACAATCAACGTTGTATAATGTTGAAAACGTAATAAAAAGAAATAGTCAAATAAAGATATTATAAGAAGAATGATGATTTTATGCATAGTCAAAGAAATTAAATAATAAAGGGAAGGAAAATAGGTTGACAAAAACAAAGAATTGATAGTTAAAGTTGATTAAATTTAATGATCCATTCGTAGAGGGAATGCCTCTTGAATTCAAATGAAATAGAAAGGTCAAAGGAAGAGTCTTAATCATAAAACTTTCTACCAAACTCAAATAAATTGCATTTAATTGTTTTAGTGGCTGGTTTGTTTGGTAGAATGTATGAGGGGTCCGTACCCACATAGGCGTTGGTTGGTATGAATCAGTCGGATGCAATGGTTTAGGGTGGAATGTGCGTGGTTGAGGAGACAACTAATTTGTGCAGGTCAATATGTATTTACTTTAAGATAACTGATCCTTATTATTGAGACAATGGCTATGTTGGTCATTTGGAGTCCATTAGTGACTGCAACTTTTTATTGTTAGTGACGTCAGACTCCCAAATTTTCATAAACATCATTAGTATCTCGAACATTCTTGTTCATAGTGCCTTAGACTTGATGTTTCTTGAGATCCTGAACTTCTAATTGAGGAGTAGTTAGTGACGTCGAATGCAAAATTCTCAATTTATTTTATTAAATTCTCTATCAAAATTTTCGTTCATTTTTTAATATAATATTTAAAAAAAAATATTCGTTTCAAAAAAAGTTTTAATAAATAATTTCTAATTTTCAATATATTTCTATAAAAAAAATATAAAAAAATGTAAAATAGTGGAACAACCATAAATATTACATAAACATTAAAAGCTAAAATTTCAATATTGTAACCACTCGAAAAATATACCTAATATGAATACATAATAAATAAGTTTTGTGTCTTAATTTTGATATGTATATAAATATATTTATATTTATATATAAAAAGCGAGGCAAGGAAGAGCCCATCGAAGATTTGGGCAGGGTGGGGAAGGAGAATATAATCCAAGTTCGGGGTCTGTTTAGCTCACAGGAACAAATCTCTCTCAACTCCCTCCTCTATCCTGTCTTAATCGAATGAGTTCCCGTAAATTAAATGAATATCTCTAATTATGACTACAATTTTAATTACAACAATTTCTATTTAAGACGTAATTACTCAAATTAAAAGTAATTATTCCATTGTAATCGTAAGAGGATTATTTTAGAATACAATAAAAATAAAAATAAAAAGTCACAAACTAAATTAATAAAATAATAATAATAATAATAATAATAAATTTATGAATCTAAATGGTCCTTAAATTTCATTGTTAGATTTCTATCCAAAATGTTAGAAAATTAAATTTTGGTCAAAATTAAAAAAAAATAAAATTATATATATATATAAGAGTAATTTGGAAGTGACATCCAGAGCATGTACAATACAAAAGAGGCTGGTTTTTGGTTTCATCCGCCATAGTTAAATCTGTTGTGTTTCATATTCATTTTGATTTTGATTTGGGACCGATGCCTTCATCTTCCTTCTACCACTATCTTTGATTTCCATTTTTGTGCTTTTGCTGCATCTGATTATGGAGGCGCCCTCCTTTGTTTCAAAAGCGAGGACTGCCTTTCATTCCGCGGCTGCTAAAGCGGAGCGAGTTTTCTTCGACTTTAAATCCGATCCATCAGGTACGCACAATCTCATCATCCATTCTCTAAATTTGCTCCCCTTTTTTTGGATTCTTCAATTCATTTTACCTTTCCCCCTCTTCCTGATTCCTCTAAGATTTTGATAAACAACAACTGCCTAAGATCCACGAACGGACTTCCAAGAACGAAGATGAAATAAGGGTATGATTCTATTTCTTCTCTGTTGACCTACTTATTTTCATTGACTTCTCTGCTATCTCATGTTCCTTCAAATTTCATGATTTAAGCTGCCTTATCGCCATCGATTTTCCAGAATTCTGGCAATTGGCTTGTGTTTTCTGCTTCGATTTCTGTGGTATATAGTAAAATAAACACGAAATGCTTTGAGTGTTCTTCAATTTGAAAAGGGTCAACTTCTTGAGCTGAAGTGGATATCAGGTTGACCGGCTATTTTAGCTTTTGTTTCACCATTTCATACTTTTCTTGTAAAACGAACAGAATGCATGTGGAAATGTCTAATTCAGCTATCTATGTTCATTCATAATCTGCATTTAGTCTAAACAAAAGATTTTCAGTGTTTATATATCCCCGGTAACAGACAATTTCTCAAGCGGATGTTGTAAAATAATTGCATTGTCTTAATGCAATGTGGAATGTTTCAGAGTCACAGTGAGCCAAAGCATTCGAAGTGGAGACCGTCGAACATCGGGACAAAACAGGACTGGCACGATAAGTTCAAAAACATTCGAATTGGAAAGAAAGCTGCTGAGGATACTGAAAAAGTTGAAAATCCCACCATGTCTGTACCATTTTATGATGAGAATTTGTACCTACTGAACATGAAAAATGATATTGAAGCAAAGGTATTAAACATTCATAAATATATAGCGTTTTTTGACGTATTTTGTCACAATCTGTATAATGTCTATTGCTCTAAGTTACCTAGAATGGTTCATAAGTGGATTCAACTTCCAAGTTCTACATACATTAGCAATTAGGAAAAGAGGAAGCCTTAATGTTCGAGCCGTCCGATTTGGTAAACTAATGGAAAACTCCATAGAATTTGTATGCTCGTACGTGTTTTTGACCATTATAGTCTATACAAATAATGTCCTCCGAGGTGATGACTCTGGAGTTAATCATAATCTTTGTGATATAACTAAGATCTGTCTTGTTGATTGAATTTTTCTCTTATACTAACTAGTCTCGTATTTATTTAGAATGCAGAAATAGTTCCATCAGTTGAAAGCTTTTTGGCTACTGATAGAGCTAGTATTCCTCCCCTTTCAGTTATAAAGCAGCTGGCTATCGCTGTTGAGTGAGTTTCTCTTCTTTCACGTTTTCGATATTTTGATTGCGTTCTTTTGTTTTTCTTCGATTTTCTGGTGGATCTTGTATTCACACTATTATTTTCGAGGATAAAGGACTTCCTGGATACTTGGTTCTTAAATGTTGACAGTCTTGGTCTCTGGTCATTTTATCGATGTTTTCCTACAAACTATTTGACGAGCTTGCATTGAAACTTGTTACTGATACCTCAATATCCATACTCTTAACCTAGGGCTGGAAAGAAATCCAAGTCGATAAAGAGTTTGGTTGCTTCGCCAGGAGATTCTTCATCTACAAGGGAGAAGTCGGGGTTGAGTCTGTCTTCTGTGAGGGCATTAATGCTTCGTGAAAAGGAGGAAAAGAGCTCAACTGAATTTCGTCTTGATGAAAGAGTTCAATCTTTAATTTGTTCACTCTTCGATGCAGGTACATGCACATTTCAGGTTACGCACGATGTGATGTATTCATGTAATTTCTTGCATAAATTCCTGCAACGATCTTTCACTTCCATTATAATCATCTGTAACGTATGCGCAGAGGGAGGAGATTTTCTCAGAAGGAACTTTGGCACTGCTTCAGAGGGCACAATTGTGACATCCTTGACTAGAGATATTCATGGTGCTCCTCCAGATAGCCTCCTTGTTAAGATTTCTGAAGTCATAGGAAGCTTCAGATGTCTTCGGAAAATGGCACTTTTTTGGTGCAGAATTGTCGATGAAGTGAGTTCACGATATAGAACTTGATTGTGCTACCTAAGGAATGGTTACAAATGATGAAAATATTTCTTTTTGTGCTTAAAGCTTATTATTCAAAATTTTATAGACACCTTTTTTGTTTTAGAGAAAGGACACTTGGTTCATGCTTACCAGATAGTTCAACCCTTTTTTATAACTGTAACTAATGAAGTTTGTTTGGAATGATTTTATTATGCAGATGAGAAGATTCTGGGCAGAAGAGCGATATATACCTGGCATTCCA